ACCCCCCCCCCCCCCCCCCCCCCCCCCCCCCCCCCCCCCCCCCCCACTGAGCGACTTTTCGGCCGGCGCGATTTTAATTTTTCGGGAGCAAAATATTTTGGGCCCGATTTTAAACCCCCCCCCCCCCCCCTTGAAAAAATCCTGCGTACGCCCCTGGGGGGTGGGCATAGTAATGTTTTTGTCAAATAAGGGTTAAAGTTTAAAATAGTTGGCTGCCCGCAAGAAGTCCCTTCTATGCAATATTATCTGTTACGGCCTGCTTACGGACAGCTGACGAAATTCGGTAAGAGTAGGCAATTGATCGGGGAGAAAATTCTCCAGAAAATTAACCGAATTTGAGTATGGATAAACGATGAATTAAAGTAAAGGCAATATTATTATGTCATACGTCGCAGATGTCAACGATGTGGGGGTCATCGTATGCGATGAGGGATTGGATGTCGGCGTGGTGGTTGTCGTCGTTGGTTCGGGGGTTGTAGTTGGCGATGAGAGGATCGTCGTTACGTGTGGTTTGGTTGTCGTCGATGATGAGGGGATCGTCGTTACATGTGGTGTGGTTGTCGTCGGCGACTCTGAACATGGAATACCCACATTACTTAAGGCACTATATGGCACCACGACAGATAGACAATGCATTACCGTATATGATCCGCTGTAGATAACTGTAAGAAGAAAGACGCAGAGAAATTAAGACGATCGTCAACATGAAAGAGGGGGAAATTAATGTAGAAACTGTGAAAGGAAGTAAAGAAGTTACAGAGATCGAGAAGGAATGAACCAGATATGAGAAGACAGAGAAAGAGAGAGCTGTAAAGAGGAGAAAAGAGAAACGAGAATAGAAAGAGAGAGAGAGAGAGAGAGAGAGAGAGAGAGAAGAGAGAGAGAGAATGGGCAGGGGGTACGCCCCCGCCCCCCCCCCCCCACACACCTCGAACGGAGGGATACCATGCGTGTTACCAAAATGTCCGGTAAAGGGGTACTTTTCACACACCAAAGTCCGGTTCGTAGTACACAAAAATCCGGCCCGTATTGACTTTACACAATGGACTTAGGGGGGGTTTTCAAAAGGAGGGAACATGCATATGCGTACCCTAAATAACACTGAGTGGGGGGGGGGGGGGGTACGCTTGACACTCATATTCGATGATTATGAAAAACACAGTCACGTTGTGCCCTGCTATTACTTAGAATCAAGTATTATTTTAATGAAAACTGTCATAAATAGGGGTAAGCATATCAAAACATGTCTCTTATATGGCAATAGCAATTAAAAAAAAACTACTTGACATAACTCGGCGCTATGTCAGTACATACCTCCTGAAATCAGGTACGTCACGCCCTCTGACAAGAAAAAGATCCCGCAAGAGTCGCCTGGAGTCGTGATGTTAATGGTCGTACTCACTTGAATGACTTCAGACGAATCATGGTACACTTCAAGTACCCGCACACTGTAGACAAGATCTTCGAATAACGTTTGGTTGCCTTCGATTTTCACAAGAGTCCCTTTAACACCTATACAAAAATGTGTAGAAAATGGAAAATATCGCAATAAACTATTAACTTAATGACTTCCTATCATCTCTCAGTAACCTAGAGAGAGAGAGAGAGAGGGGGGGGGGGGGGGAGGAGAGAGAGAGGGAGGGAGAGAAGATACAGAGGACAGGGAGAGAGAGGGAGAGAGAGAGAGAGAGAGGGAGAGAGATAAGATACAGAGGAGATAGAGAGAGAGAGAGAGAGAGAGAGAGAGAGAGTGAGTGAGATAGAGAGAAATGCGATATGAAAAGAATATAATATCCCCTTCCACTCCCTCACTAGATGACCATGTTTTTCATCCAACCAGTGAGTACCCCCTCCCTCCCCATTAATGCCCCCTTACTGGCTCCACACAACCTTCATCCTCGCTATATACGCCACGACCTGTCCCCTCCACTCTTACTTACCGAATTCCGAGGAGCAGAAAGTTGGTGGCTCGACACAAGAACATGCTGATGTTCCATGCAGAGTGAAAGCAAGAAAAATAAGGACGGATGCGATGGGCGAAGTTGCCATGGTAGCTATATTCCAATCGTTCCTAGGAAAGGTAAGAAAAGGTGAAGATATCTAGGGAAAATGCGGGATAATAATTCAGCAATGAGCTTTAAACGAGAACTCTTTAGCGAACGAGAAAACGAGAACTCTTCTATAGAAGAAAAAGAGCATACAAAATAGAGAAGCAGACTGGTAAAAGTTTGAACGAAGTCGGACAAAAATATAAAACTTATGTATGTTCAAGTTCAAGTTCAAGTTGTTGAAAGTATAATCAGTGTTCGTATTTGCACTTCCGATTGGCTGCATTAGTGACTTAGTGTCGGACACATTTCCCATTTATTTCAACACGTAAAATGACTTAAATGCCACTTTTCAAAATGCATAACTCAGGGGGGGGGGGGGTGGGCTTTTCTTTTTGTGAAGACCTGAAATAACATGCTTTCCATGAGGCCGCCATCCTAGTCAAGCTTCGCTTATGATTGCGGTTTCCTGCACTTATAATAATATGTTATAGAAATATTAAGTTTTGTTATTATATGTACATATGTAAAAAAAAGATTGACATGAAGTTATCATTGTATGTATATTTTGTATTATACCTTACGTTTATATGTTCTTTGTTATTTGTTATTATAATTGGAAAAATGCAGAAATAAAATAAAATTAAAAAAAGAGATAAATGTTACGAATTTGAACCCTATAGTACGGTGCCTATTACTTCAAACAAGTTAGTTTATACATTGCTTCTCTCTACCCAGGTTTATAAATGTGTCAGAGGCGGCGGAGCGACTTCCAAAGTGGGGGGGGGGGGGGGGGCACCAACAAAAAAAAGGCACTTTCTGGAAAAAGGGCACCTTCAAAGGGAAATCCTCGAAGCGAAAATATACAATTTTTGTTAGACATATACCTCTATATTTTAGTAAGAGGACACTTTTTTGTTTGTTTCTGTCCCCAAAAAATCGCAACGACTCAGCCGGTCGCTGAATAAGCGGGGGGGGGGGGGGGGGGTGGGGGGATGGGGGGGGTGGTAAGAGGACACCTTTTTGGGGGGGTCTCGAAATTGAAAATTTGACATTTCGCTCCGTTGGGGGGGGTTTTAAATAATTTAAAAAATATATAAATAAATAAAATAAATAAATCCAAAGGGGGGGGGGGGTTT